TTTGTTTGTTTTAAGAAATAGAATCTGACTTGCTCCTGGGCCTTAGAGGAGGCTGACCTCTTGACTGTGAGTCAGATGTTATCATGAAAACAGGGCTTCCTAATATGAACTGAGATGTTATCCGACCTAATACCATAAATGCTTGTATGCATAGAAGTATTCCTTCATTAAATGGAAAGTGGTATATACAATATCAGGCTAGAACAGGTCCTAAAGGTAGAAGGAAGCTGAATGAATAATTAGCTCTGATTCTAATAGATCCTAATTTTCCTAAATTTCTTCCTTTCTTGGTTTTCTTTATAGCTTCATGGGAAGGTCACTCTGGTGAATTTATTGGGAATTAATAATCCAATTCTAGTCTACAGATGGTTATATACAATATGCTGTATGTGTGACAGGAGATAGCTGTCCCATTACTGCTCCAATTAAGAGTGCCTCTAAATAACAATAGTGAATGGAAAGGCTCTTAAAGGGAGTTTGGTAAGTTTATTTTATTTATTTATTTATTTATTTATTCTGGAAGAAGAGAAATCCAGAGGTAGGAATCATCAATTCATGGGCAGTAACTAACATTTTGGCTAAATCATCAGGAACTCAAGGAAACACAATTAGAAAATTGGTTATAAGAAAGTTCAGGAAAAAGTGTAAGATTATCTGTGCCCCATTTGAATGTCTACCAAAGATCAACCTCAGTAGAGGAGAGTATTAATGATCAGATATATACAAACTGTGAATGTCAATCAGCCACCTTTTTTCTTACCCAGTGAACAAGTGGTAATAACAGCAGGAATTGAGTTTAATGTTGACTTAGTAACATGGATTTTGTAAATCCCTAATTATTGAAAAAGTTAGCATGTTCCAACTATTGCAATAAAGAAAAATAAATAAAAGGCATAGAAGTCACAAAAAAAGAAATGAAAAAGTCCATATTTTCTGACATAATTATCTATGCATGAAATCTCAAAAATACGATAAATAAAAGCAAAACAAAATACTCCTAGGACTAATAGTTATTTCAGCAAAGTCACAGAATATAATACCAACACATAATCAAGCATATTTCTATATATTAACAATGAATATTTGAAAACTGAAATTGAAAACAAAAATACTACTTACAATCATGCTAAAAAATAAAATAGGTATAAATTTAACATAATACATACATGCACTATAAGAGTTACAAATTGCCAATGAAAATATCAATGAATCAATAAGAAAGTAAACAGAAAGACACACTGTATTTATGAATTAAAAAACTCAACACAGTGAAGATATCAGTTGTCCCCAACTGACTTATAGTTTTAATATAATTGCCATCCAAATATAACAAGATTAATGTGTTTTTCTTGTGCAGGCACAGAAAAGCTTATTCTTAAATTTATATGTAAAGGTAAAGAACATACAAAAGCTAAAATGATTTTGAAAAAGAAGATTAAATTGGTAGGAATCACTTTGCTCAATATTAAAGCCAACTCTATAGCTATGGTAACCAAGAATGTATGGTATTGGTGGAGGGATGCACAGATAAATCAACAGAACCAAATAAAGAATACAGTTAGATTCATATAAATAAATACACTTAAACAATTTTTGATGAGGATGTAAGAGCCATTTAAAAGAGGAAGAATAGTCCTTTCAACAAATGGTACCACAACAAGTGGATATACTAGGAAAAAAATAAAATAAAGTCACAGGCAATCATAAACTTAAATGTAGAATGTAAAACTATAAAACTTATAGAAGACAACATAAGAGAAAATCTTGGGGATTAAATGTTAAGAGTTCTTAGCCTTGACACCAACAGCACTGGCCATAAACTGGATTTCATATCACACAAACCAACAAACACACACACACACACAAAAAAAAAGTAAAGAAAAAAGGAAGATTTTCTTTGCAAAAGATCCAGATATGAAGATGAAAAGATATTCTACAAAAATTATTTGCAAATTACATATCCAAGAACAAGTGTCTAGAATGCATAAGAAAACTTTTTTTTTTTTTTTTTTTTTTTTTGAGAGAGAGAGAGAGAGAGAGAGAACCAGCATGAGCCCTACGGCCAGAGGGAAAAGAAGAAAGATAAAATATTTGATTTTCTTTTTTTTAAATGTTTATTTATTTGATTTTGAAAGAGAGAGAGAGAGCACATGTGTGAGCTGCGAAGGGACAGAGGGAGGAGAGAGATAATTTTAAGCAGGTGCCACACACAGTGCAGAGCCTGACATGGGGCTTGATCTCACAACTGTGAGATCATGACCTGAGCCAAAATCAAGTCAGACACTTAACCAACTGAGCCACCCAGGTGCCCCAAGAACTAATTTCTTAGAACTCTTTCTAAGTTGATTTTACAACACCACATTATTTATTTTTTCTCCTACCTCTCTAATGTTCCAAGTTGATTAATCTTCTGCGTTTCTTGCTGTTCCAACTAGTTCCTTAATTATTTACATTCTTTTTTATGTATTCCTATTCTTTAATTATTCTTTACATATTATTATATATCCTTTAATTATTCTTCAATTGTTTATATATTTTTAAACTATTTTCTTCATCTTTCTGTTCATATTTTCTTCACCTCCCTGTTTTCTAAATCTTTGAGTACTCTTCATACTTATCTTTTGTATTCACATTTACTGTCCTTTAGTAATTAAGCTTTACATATCATCTATGTGCTGAGTCCCAGTTATATATAAATACAGCTTCTACCCCCTGCATTCCAGATAGCTGGATCCAGTTGTCTACCTAATATTTTCACTTGTATATTTAAGAGGCATCATAAAGATAATATTTCTAATCTTAAGTTTCTAATCTTCCCTCCAAAATATCTTCTGAGAAGTCTCCACTACCTTAGTAAAAGGCACCTCCTCAATTTATCTTTGATTCTTCTTTACTCATCCATTCCTGAAATTCAATCCACTAGAAATTCCTCATAGTTTTTAAAAAGACTTCAAATATCCTACCACTTCTTACTCTATTCAGTACTCAACCTTACTGAATCCACCATTATATTCCCTTGGATTATTATAATAACCTTCAAACTTTTCTTTCTGGTTCTATTCTGCTTTCTCTGGATCCCTTGCTTATGCCCACAGTCTATAGTGATACTAACTAGAACCACCTGTTTAAATATGTCAGCTATTTCATTGATAAAAATTTTGTTTGCTTTCACATCTTGGCTATTGTAAATAATGTTGCAATAAGCATAGGGGTGCATATATCTTTTCAAATTTGTTTTTTGTTTTCTTTTGACAAATACCCAACAGTGGAATTACTGGATCATATAATATTTCTATTTCTAATTTTTTGAGAAAATTTCATACTGTTTTCCACAGTGGTTGCACCAATTTACATTCATACCAACAGTGCACAAGGGTTTCTTTTCTTCCCCATCCCTACCAACACTTGTTATCTCTTGTCTTTATGGAATTTAAGAAACAAAACAAACGAACAAAAATGAGACAAAAAATGCCACAGGCTCTTAAATATGGAGAACAAGCAGTGTTGCCAGAGAAGTGGGGTAAGGGGAGAGACTGGTGAAATGGATAAGGGGGATGAAGGGGTATAGACTTAGAGTTACAAAAAACCTAAGTCATGGACATAAAACTACAGCGTCAGGAATATAACCAATACAATTGTAAAAACATGGTTTGGTGTCAGATGATGACTACACTTATTGTGGTGAACACTAAGTAATGTACATAATTGTTGAATCATTATACTGCATACCTAAAACTCATCTAACACTGTATGTTAATAAAAATGTGTATGCCATATATTTAAAAAATTGCATTTTATCTCACTTCCCTCCACCCCTGAACCACTTTCTCCTGGTGGACATCATCTCTTAGCACATTTTCCTCACTTCTCTAATATTTATTTATTTTTATTTTTTTAATGTTTTATTTATTTTTGAGACAGAGAGAGAGAGAGAGAGAGAGAGAGAGAGAAACAGAGCACAAGCGGGGGAAGGGTAGAGAGAGAGGGAGACAAAGAATCCAAAGCAGGCTCCAGGCTCTGAGCTGTCAGCACAGAGCCTGATACAGGGCTCAAACTCATGAGCTGTGAGATCATGACCTGAGCCGAAGTCAGACGCTTAACTGACTGAGCCACCCAGACACGCCTCTAATTTTATATTTATTTATTTACCTATTTATTTTAAGTTTTATTTATTTAAGTACTCTCTACACTCGACCTGGGGCTCGAATTCATGACCCCAAGATCAAGAGTTGCACGGTTTTCTGACTGAGGCACTCAGGCGTCCCACACTTCTCTAATGTTTAAATAAATGTCTCTTACCAAATTATCGGCAATGTAAAGACAAAGATTTTCATCTGTTTTCTCTTCTCAGAAATCCCCACTACAAGAACATCTGCTGACCCATAGTAGGTATTCAATAAATGTGTCAAGTGTATGAATTTAAAAAACAAAGTAATAAAATATAAAATTCTTAAGACCTGAAAATTGTCTGAATGTACAATATTGAGAAAAATAATTTAATATGGCACTGGGATTTCTTATCTGAGTGACTGTGAGGATTAAAGTTTCTGTTAAATGAGGGTGCCTGAATGACTCAGTCAGTTGAGTATCTGACTCTTGCTTTCTGCTTGGGTCATGATACCACAGTTCGTGAGTTGGAGCCCCTAGTCGGGCTCCACACTGACTGTGGAGCCTCCTTGGTCTTCCCTCTCTTTCCCTTTCCCTCTGCCCATCCACTGCTTGTATTCTCTCTCTCTCAAAATAAATAAATAAACCTAAAAAAGAAAGTTTCTATTAAATGAGCGCCTATGTAAAACACTGAGGGTCAGAGGAAGACAATGATTTTGAAATGTTGGGTTTTGGTCATTAATATTAATGAATCAATAGCGAACTAGCAATCAGAATTTATTATAAGGCAGAGAGTGACCTTAAAGTATAGATTAGCAACAAGGTAGGTCATTTTTTAATTTTCTTAAAATATATAAATTAAATATTTTAACTATTTATGCTTTTTCCCCCTTTCCAGCATAGTGCATATATGGTAGAACAGATTTTACCTCCATCCTGTGGTTGTATTTGTGATAGTTACTTAAAATGTAAGTTTTGTAGTTTCCTGAATACCTGCCTTGGAGTCCAAACAAGAACCTCAATGATCTTGGCAAACTTCTTCAAGAACAGTAAAACTGATGAGTACCTAGAAATCAATCTGGCTGTTGAATGGGAGAGACATATTAATATATGTTTATATGCTACGGACACACAAAACACACAGTGGTTTAAAATAGGGTCTCTAAATGAGACTTACAAAGATAGATGCTCCAAATTACAGGCACTGATTTGCAATCAAGCCAGTTCTCACATGAACAACTCTAAATGTGTGCTCTAGGGTGAGAAGAAGCAGAGATTTATTTACATTTGTTAATGATCCTCCCAGTAGGCCAGCGAGCAATTTAATAGAGGAATTTGAAAAATATAAATAATTAATTTGTAGCTTGTAGTATTGGAGAAGCAGTTAACTATCACAATAATTAACTTTGGGTTTCAGTACTTGTGGATAGATTTTGGTTAGTAAGTCCCACCCATTAGAGTCTGGCTACATTGCTTCTGTTTGGTTGGGGTCCCACCATCTGAAGACTAACGCCTTCGCTGATACAGAGAGGGTTTACAGGTGGTCCTTTTCTTTGGCACATTGTGATTCAAAACAACCATGATTAGTCACTATCCAACAAAACCCTGTTCTTTTATTAAGCTGCTTTAAGGAGGGTTTTTAATCAGAAACCTCTGATGTTTACAGAATTAATAAACCCAGGCTACAGATATACTACCTAGCAGCTCAATTTACCTTTAATTTGACTTTCTTAAATTTAACATTTCAGAGCTTCAGAAATATTTGATATTATACAGTTTGATTACCTACTTACGTTTAATTGGAGAAAAGACATCAATTTACCTGTCCCACGTTAGCGCTCCTTCTATGTCAGTAGTGTCCAGACCACATCCTCTTTTCTTCATGATAAGCAAAGAAAAGAAAGAAAAGTAAAATTTAATTAGCAATATACACAGACAGTGAAAAGACTGAAGAGTGGAGGAGATACTAGTAAAATAAAACTAACACTACTGTGATTCCTTATGGTAATAATTTCGATAAAATAAAAAATTAAATCCATTAGACCCAACTGCAGGGAATCTGTTTTAGGGGGAAAAAATGAAAACAACAAATTTAGTGCATAGGTTTTGCACTTATTCCTAAATATTTAACTTATTTGTTGTGCTCTAGTAAGAACATAACTCCTTTTAAAATCATTTGAAAATTACATTTTTACTCTACAGTGCATAATAAAAAACACAAATTTCTGACTCTGTTGCAGAGAATACAGAATAAGAAATCATTTAAGGGACTTTTTGATTAAAAACATCTAGTGTTTAAATGCATTTCAGTGTTTGATAGGAATCCTTGATTTGGTACAAAGTCTCCATTGCATAATTTATCTACTTTTAATTTTGAGGTAATGAGGATTTTTGAGGTAATGATTATCAGAGAATGCTTTAAACCTTAACTTTTAAACTGCCATTAAATGCTACAAGTCTGGAATATATCAAACAGTTGTCAATAAAAGTGTTTATTTTAGTTCTATGTCTATAGAAAAGGGAATTCTACTATTCCCAGAGAATGAAATACTTTATCATGACTGTGACACCCTAGTTTTGCCCTTACTAATATGTGTGAACTTGAGTACACTAATTTTTCTGCTATTTACTTGGTTACATCACCTCCACATTTTATTGCCAGTTCTCAAAATAATTCTGATTATATGTATGATCATCTGATGACCATAATCACTTCAGTCACTTTAATGGCTTTTGTTAAGTATAATTACTGTCTTTTCCAGTTGTAAGTGAAGGTTAAATGTTTAAATATGATATCAAAAAAGTATTTAAGCTCTCCTAGACTACTTGTGGGAACTGATACTATTTTTAAAATGATATCCCATCTGAGACACATTGGTGGCTCAGTCACTTAAGTGTTCGACTTGATTTTAGCTCAGGTTATGATCTAACAGTTTGTGAATTCGAGCCCCACATCAAGGCTCCCAGCTGACAATATGGAGTCTGCTTGGGATTCTCTCTCTCTCTCTCTCTCTCTATCTCTCTCTCTCACATTCTCTCTCTCTCCTCCTCCCACCCCACCTCAAAATAAATGAATAAACTTTAAAATATAGATAGATAGATAGATAGATTTTAAAAAATGATATTCCATATTCCTTTTCCCTGAAATTTCTATGCATTCTCTCCATGTTTCAAGCAGATTGTGAGTTCTAACTGTCTCAAAGGAGGGACAGAACACAGCTCAAAGAAGAAAACTGTGCAAGTTTTGTCTGGTTGTTGAATGCTTGAAACCTAAGCCTTTGAGGTGATAAGGTGGGGATGAGAGAATTTATCTTTAGAGTCTAGACAAATGGTTTCAGAGGAACAAAAAAGGACTTTTCTGGGCTTGAGAAACTATGTTAACTGAAGAAGGGGGCCAGTTGTATTGGTCTAAGAATAAGATACAGTGTCAGAGTTCCTGGTCAGAGTTCCAGGAAGTCATCCAGAGATCAGGGACGTAATGGATATGGGGTAATGATGTTACAGTGCATTCAGTATTATTTCTGTGCCCCATCAGAGCAAGAAAAGAACAAAAGTATCTAATATTTACTGAATATCTTCTCCTCTGCCACATAAAGGAAATTGCTGCTTGTATACTGAATATTTAGTTTTATTATTTACTTACATTTATTTCTTTTATGTTTAGCCTTGCCTTGGTTCACTGTAAGCAAACTGTTACCTTGCCCCAGTTGACTCTGCACTTGTCATGAAACATGATTTCACCTGTGGAATGTGGGTAGAATGGAACTCTCCAGTTCCAAGCAAAGGTTTTAAATGTCACTGATGTTGGTCTTTGCCCCAGTGTGCTGTGCCATCAGTTACAGAAAGACCACTTTCCAAGTACCTATCATTCCCGTAACCTGGATCTTGGAATGGAGAAGACTTGATTTTATTTGCAGCCTGAAACTCATTCCAGCTGAGCCCAATCAGATCCAGCCATGGCACAGCCAAGATACAGACTCTTAGGTGAGAAATCAATTTTGCTATTGTATACCACTAAAATGTTGATGTTTTTTAATCACAGCGAAGACTAACCACTAAATGAAATGACAGGACACAGAAGAGATGATAACTTAGTGGATAACTACACAGGAAATGACTTAAGAATTTAATATACTCCTGCCCTCTCACACCACCATGCTATTTAGAAACTATATTGTAAAGTGGGTGTTAGCAATACCAAAAATTGACCAAAATTAAGTTTCTCTCACCTAATTGAGAAAAGATGGGTAAGTACAAAAAAGACAGTAAAGTGGGGATTGAAGAGAAACAGGAGTTTGAGATTGTCCGGTAATAGAGTTTAGAGCTTTGCTGTCCAAATACAGTAGCCACTAGCTACATGTGGCTTTTTGAATTTAAGTTAATTAAAGTTACATAAAATAAAAAATTCAATTGCCTGATCACACTACCATGTTTTAAATCTTAATAGCTACATGTGGTTAATAGCTACACTAATATAATACACATATTATAAATTATTCTCATCATCACAGAATGTTCTATGGGGCTGTGATGGTTTAGAGACCTCTGATTTATTCTATATGTAGATAACAAACAGGATAATTACCCACATGTTTCCAGCAAATAGAATATTATGGTAGGTTTTATTATTCTTACAAATATTCAATTTTACCTTCTTCTCTGTTAATGTAGGGCTTGGCCCTGTAAATTGCTTTGGTCATATGAATAGGAGTACATTTGACATGTGTCATGTCTAAGCAGAGATTTTGATTGTGAGTGCATGGTTTATCTCCCCTCTTTGATTTTATCTTTTGACATAAAAATTGGCATCTCTCCAATGAGAGCTGCTCCTTATTCTGAGTCCTGGAATGAGGTGGCAGGTGGAGTAATAAACAAGCTGGGTCAGATGTGCACTTCAGAGGAGACCCAGAAGCAACCTGTAACCCTCACACGACATGCAAAATGAATATCTGTTGTTGTAAGTCACTGAAATTTAAATTATTTGATTTCTCTAGCAAATCTCATCAATTCTGTTGGTTTATGAACTGGCCCTTGTACACAGCAGGCAGGGAAAGACCCAAGGGAGGCAGACTATTCCAGATTGGGAGGAGGCATATTTAACAAGCAAAAGAACTTACAGACAAAGCTTGTCTTGGGTGGCCACAAAATGAGTATATCTCTGTACCCACCTGCCAGAATCTTAAAAATTTATGTAAAGGTCTTCACTGAGGTCAGTCACATATACCATTTAGATCGTCTCAAGAACACCTTATTCTCTCAAGGCTGTGTCCTTGGAACAGCTCCCACTCTAGAAATGGTGGGCACAATGTACATTCCAATGACAGAGGAGGAGGCGAGGGGCCTCTGATTGCCCAGGTCCAACTAGTGGGTCAACCAGGGGTCACATCCTCTCGATGATGTCCTCCAACAAATACCAAAGTGGTTCAGAGAAGAAGGAATTGTTGGAGTACAAAATAAAAGTTTAATATGTTGAGTTTGAGCAGCCAGTAAGATGGTCTAATAAAGATGCCTAGTAAGTTGCCTAATAGACATTGGGGTCTGGAGCTCAGCACAAAAACTGGAGCAGGTGATATAAAATTTGGGCATAAACTATATAGAGACAATCACTGAAACTTGGGAATGAATGCTATTACTCATGTAGAATTCATAGTTTATTTATTTTTTTTTAATTTTTTTTTCAACGTTTATTTATTTTTGGGACAGAGAGAGACAGAGCATGAACGGGGGAGGGGCAGAGAGAGAGGGAGACACAGAATCGGAAACAGGCTCCAGGCTCCGAGCCATCAGCCCAGAGCCCGACGCGGGGCTCGAACTCCCGGACCGCGAGATCGTGACCTGGCTGAAGTCGGACGCTTAACCGACTGCGCCACCCAGGCGCCCCTAGAGCTCATAGTTTAAACAAGAGTTTTGAAAATAAAATGCCATTATAGTACATGTATGTTATCATTTTATAAACCTCCAAATATGTTTTCACCTTTTGATAGATAAAAGTTAATAATTGCTTTCTGAAAAAAAAATGCTTCACTCTCCAACATGAATTTACTGGGTTTAGTTCTATCCAAAGACCCAGATAGACCCAGATAGGCTTTTGCTGAGTACATCAATCAAAGTATCGCTTTGCCTTACCATTACCCTTCATAGTCAAGGAGAGATGTGAGAAACTATGTGTGAAGCTTCTGGGAAACAGAACTCTTCCAAAATGAGCAGGAGTAGATATTCTTCCCTTGGATGGGGTAATGTGACTATGAGAGGTGTATGACTGCCATAGCAATATATGACTCCAACTGATTTTCTGAGGAAACCAGAGTAAGAGTGCCCTAGGCAGAGCCTAAAAAGGAAACTAACATCATGATGGAAAAGTGTGAAGGAGGAAGGCACACAAGAAAGAAAAATCAGGGTGCTTGATGGCATTATTTGAGCACTTTATAAAGCCTCACCGTAAACCAACTACTTCTTGTCTCTTTAGTTATGGGACTCAATACATTCATTCTAGTGATTAAGTCCATTTAATTTGGGTTTTCTCTATCTTGCAAGAGAACCCTAGCTGGTATACATAAAACCCATAAATATTTGATACATGGCCAGAAAAAAACACATTTAATTAATCCTTGAAATGCCATGCTATAGAAAACAGACTAAAAACATGCCATGGAAGACTGCTTCAAGTGAAGGGAGAGATTTGATCATTCAGATGCTATTCAAAGATATAGGAAACAAAAACTTTAACATTTTTTAACATTTTATTGAATTTAGTAATGAGTACATATTGTGAGATAAAGCATGCTGTGGACCGATTGTTTGTGCCCCTCCCCCTGGCTCCCTCCTCTGCATTTCACACATAGAAACCTTAACACCTACTGTGATGGTATCTGGAGATG